CTTCTGTAAGAAGGCAACGGGCAAGGCTGGTGAGCAGGCTAGCTTGAATAATTTCTGTAGGCTGTGGAGTATAGGATATGGTCCTGGTATTCTCATATCTGGGGTTAGTGTTATTGTACAAAGGAAGAATGGCCTGTAGTGGGACCTCCATAAACCAGGTGATGGCATGTAGGCTGTCATGGCTGGCTGGTACTTGAAGGGCACATACCAATGCAAGCCTTGATTATCTGTAGGGTTAGTTAACCCTAGGAGGGAAGATATCTGAGACAGCAAGACTCAAATGTCAAAACACATAATATGGAAAATAAACTACAAGGTTACCATTCATCCTTGAGAGATGCACACTGCAGTGGGTCCAGAAGGCAAGGAAGATGAAACTGGAACAAAACCTCAGACCTTGTCCTCTCAGCTGTGAGATGATGGAGTGAGGAAAACAAGCTGAGAAAGAAGCAGCTGCTCTCTGAGGAGAAGCCAAGAGTGCCTAAGAATGGAAATCCCAGGTAGTTCTGAGGGAGGTCCAGGTGTTGGGCTTGGGGGTTAGCATGCACGCACGATAAGAATGATAGGGTTGACTAAATTTGCTGGGAGGCACTAGGCTGCAAACAATAGTCACAACACAGGTGGTAGGTAGCAGCAAGTGCCTGCCCCACAACCCAGGTGATGCTGGCAACAGTTAGAGACATTTTTTAATTGCCACAACTTGGAGGTGAGGAAGAATTATACAGTTAGAGTGCAGTAGACAGAACTCAGAGGTGCAGCTGGACATAATGGTGCACGCCTTTAATCCCAGAAGGAACTAAGGCAGAGATAGGCAGATCTCTGTTTGTTCAAGGCTAGCCTGGTCTACATAATGAGTCTTAGGACAGCCAGGGCTACATAGTAAGACTCTGTCTCAAAAAAAAAAAAAAAAAAAATCAGAGGTACTATAATATAGAGATAGATGTCCCACTCCTAGCCTCACCAACAATGAGATGTCTGACTGAATGTCAGGAGTGTCAACAAGGGAGCCCCAAGTTAGAGGAGGGATTGACAAGGGAAAGTACAGGGATGTAATTGCTGAAGTCTTCAAGATTCCATGTTCTCTGCAACCTGGCTTGAGGCAGAAAAGGAGAAAGGTGGCATCTGGTATTGGTAAAGAATCTGATCCCTCTAAACTTGTCAATTAGGGGCTGGGAACAGAGGAGGGAGATGTTGGTCTAAGGGCACAAAGATAAGTTAGGCAATTTTGAAGCTCCGTTTTGTAGCCCAGCTACTACCAGTTAACACCATATGTAGTCAAATGCAATGCATTATGCCTATAGCCCCAGCTATTCAGGAGGCTGATGCAGAAGGATCACAAATCCAAGTCCACCAGGGCAGCATGGCAATACTTTGCTCAAATAATATAACAACAGTAGTAATGTATACTTGAAAATTGCTATCAGATTGGTATTCTATGTTCTTATCATAAAAAGACAACTATAAGAGGTAATAGATATGTGGATTTATCTTAATCATTCCACAATGAACACATATCTCAAGGCATCACAATAGACATGATGGACACACACAGCCTTCAGTAATTGTGGGTAATTGACTGTAGAACTCTCCCACAGATACCAAATTCCACAAGTGCTTGAGTCCTTTATATAAAGTGGTGCAGTATTTGCCTGTGATCTATGCACATCCTTCCATATACTTTGAGTTCATTACTGCTAATTTCTAATATACGTGTAATGGTGTACTATTTGGGTACCAACAAGAAAAATATCTGTTCAGCTTCACTAAACACACACACAAAAAAAATTTCTGTTGTTTTACTAGACAGGGTTTCTCTGTGTAAGAGTCCTGATTGTTCTGGAACTCACTCTGTAGACCAAGCTGGTCTCAAACTCAGAGATCCACTGGCCCCTGCCTCCAGAGTAGAGAGTTTAAAGGCATGTGCCACCATTGCCCACATAAAATTTTTAAAGCATATTCTTATCCTAAATCGGTTGAACCCACAGATGTAGAAGCCATGAACACAACGTGTGTTTATATATATTTGCGTGTGTGTGTGTGTGTGTGTGTGTGTGTGAGAGAGAGAGAGAGAGAGAGAGAGAGAGAGAGAGAGTGAGAAAGAGAGAAAGAGAGAGAATCTTGTGGTGTCCCTGAAACACTGTACTTTGTGAGGGCAGGAACTGTATGTGTTCAGCTTTTCCAACAACCCAGCTATTACATCATGCAAAATTTTTGTTGAATGGTTTTTTTTAGATTTTTAAATGTTAAATTAGATGCAGCATCCTCCTCACCTGAAGCCCTTGTAAGTTTGATGGAAGCCTCTCCTCCCCCCCACCCATGAACTGGGTTTGCCTTTTGAATAAACAGTATTTTAGATTGTGATGAAGGCAGAGCATTCTCCTGAATCTGTTATCTCATCTTACCCTTCACATATACTCCTGGGCTCCCACCAAACACTTCATGAATACACCGCCGTTTTTTAACCCATTTCTTACATTTCTTTAACTTTGTATTTATATGTTGGTACTTTCATATATGGATGCAATATATTCAGATCATGCCCAGCCACACTCTGCTCCCTGTTCCAACTCCTGGTGGACCCCGCCTGCCACACATCCTCCCAACTTCATGTTTGCTTTCTCTTCTAAGTATTTTCCTCTTTTATCTGGTCTTTTCTAGAAGGAGATGCAAGTATCCCCGCTATTCTCCGTGGAGATGTGGGATGATTTGAGGAATTCTTCTGATAAATATTTCCTCATGATGGTTTCGTGTGTTTTGTAATTAAGTACATGGCCCTGTTTCCTGGATGGTCTTGTTTAGGACAAAGGTGCATTTTTAAAGATGGGTCATTTTAAAGTTTAAATAAATGATAGTAGTCATAGATGATAAAGGAAATTGGTTATAGAGATTTAAGAATACTGGTTTGGGGAACGTTAGCATGCTGGCTAATGTTTTGCCAACTTAATACAAACTAGAGTTATCAGGAAGAGGGAACACTGATAGAGAAGACCTTCTATCAGGTTGACCTGTGGGAAAGGTTGTGGTAATTTCTTGATCAATGATTGATGGGAGGGCCCAGGACATTGTGCATAGTGCTACCTCTGGAAAGGTAGGTGGTCCTGGGTTACATAAGAAAGCAGGCTGAGTGAGACACAGAGAGCAAGCCAGGAGACAAGTTCCTCCATGTGTCTGCTTCAGTTCCTGCCTTGACATTCCTCTACTTACCTGAGACCTATAAGAAGGAAATAAATCCCTTTTCCCACCTTAGTTGGTTTGGGTCTATGTTTCCTCGCAGCATCAAACTAGGATAACCATTTAAACCCATTTGAAGTTCGTTTTACTATCCACAGTAAGGTGTTCAAGTTATTTCTTCCAAGATTGTTAGCCAACCATTCTAAACCATTTACTTAATTACCCTTTGATAATGCTTTTAAAAATCATTTATTAATTCTTACACATGCAGTATTTCTAGACAATCTCTTTTGTCTCGTTAACCTTTTGTTAGTCTTGTACTACTGCATTTTAAAATACCATGTCTGACTTACTACCTGGCCCAACAGCTCTTCCCTCCCTATGAGAAGAGCAGCTTTGACGACTGGGAACTGAATGAGGGATGTGAATGGACAGTTATAGATGGGAATACCACAGCAAATGAAACTCTTGGGGTCAACCAGACTGTGGATCAGAACTGCGACCTGTGAGATGTTACGAGAATCCCCGTCGGAAGGTCAAGAGCTCTGCCTTCCAAGGAAAATGGAAAGACAATAAACCTAATTAATTAATTAAATACTAGGCATTAAATGAGAATAAGTTCAGTGTTACTTTGTGTCATGAAGAACTAGGCTTGGAGGGGTAAAACTTGATGGTGGGAAAATCTTAAAGGCCCTCGTGCCTCCTACAATTATCTGGCCATGGAATAGGATTATTGGCTGTCAATAAGTAATGCTGAAACTGCATATCAACAGATCAGAAAAATACATACATACATAATACATACATGCATATATATATATGCACATACAATAATATCTGTAGAAACCCAGTGTGCTGCTTTGCTATAACTTCTTCACAAAGAACTCTCATTTAATGACAGTTTCCCCAAATATATAGCTTCCCTGGGGATACCTGTTTCTTTGCTGTACGCTAACCCCTGCTCTAAAGGGCTCAGTAGAACTTTAAAATACAAGTAAAACTCAAAATGCCTTCTTAATTGCATAGCCTATAAATCAAGGAAGAAACTTAATGAGTAAAAATATTTAGTCTCCTGTATGACTTTTTTCCAGCACAGGCACATAGTGGGGAGCCAAGAGCATGCACTTGTGCTTTCCTGGGTAAATACAGTAACAAAGCAGGATGACGCTGTGTGGTCAGACAATGGGATCTGACAACTGAATAGGAAATGGACTAAAGTCCGGAGCTTTTCAAGAGCCTGTTCTCCAGGACAAAGGATCCCTTTCATTTCCCACTTGCCTCCTGTCTCCTCCATACTACACAGTAACACTATTAATGTTATGCATCATGCCACTAAAAAGTAAACTGTCACCACATTTGCTTAGGGGCACTGCTGAGTTAGTTCATCTTGATGCCTCTGTTGAATTTCTGGTGTCTTCAGTTTAGGGTGACTGTGATAAACAACATCTCACTACCCATGAATGAAAGGAAGAGATGAGAGTGAGTGATGCTAAGTTATACTGGTGCAAATGCCCCATTGTGCTGAATTGTGCCATCGTGTGGATTAGTAAAGAGTCTTTCCAGAGTGGTCTATTAGCAGTCTAAAATGGGTGTCTCAACTTGAAGTGTTCAACTGGGAGATGGATGGGAGGATCTGAAAGACACAAATTTTCGTAAAATTCCTGGGCTGTGCCTAAGACCAAGACAAGGCCCATTATGGAAAGCACAGAGTCAAACATTGTCATCTTCCTGTGGTTCCCCCAGGTGAGCTCTAGGGTCTCCTGGTGATTGAAGAGGACTTTGCAAAGAAGAGCTGCATTGATAAATAATGCATTTCCTTTGTCTTGCAGGAATTCTGGAGGCAGAGGTACAATCAGATCAGCTGTGAACAGCTTACATAGCAAATCTAATAGGTTTGTAAATTAGATTTTGTGTTCATTTGTTTTTGCTGTAAGGCAGCTATTAATCTGCCTCTCCTCTTTGCTGGGTGGTGCTCTTCTTACTTAGCAAATAGATCTGTTTCATTTCACTTTGGTTTTACATTTCCTTAATCACTTTTGAGGGGAGCTGTCAGTGGGAGATCACATGAAATGGTCCATGGGGCTAGGGAGGCTGCAGAGATGGAAAACACAGGTGGGTAAAAGTTACCTTCTGGAAAAGAGTCCACCCACTTTGTAGAGCTTGAACCACCACCAACTTTCTTGTAACCTGCATTTTTGCTGAGCAGTGGAGCCCCTGAAGCAAGCCAGGACTTTAATCCAATTTCATTGTAGTTGATGGCTGGTCTGGAAGGTTGAGATGGGGATAAAACATTCAAGAACTTTGCTGAGACATCTTGTAGAAAGTCAACTAAATAATGTGAACTCTAATTATTGGATGTGCACTCTAAATTCTGGAAGTGCACTCTTACATTGTGTGACTGAAAGCCTTTGGGACAGCAGAGAGATGGGTGCAGGGAATAGTGCAAATGCTTTGCAAGGCAACAAACCCAGATGCACTGCAGAGACCTCATGCTTCTTTTTCTCCATTCTCCATTAAAAGATGAGTACACAAAAGCTCGCTCCTCTGTCTCAAAGTCCAAGCTTAAGGAGCAAGGAGACAAGTACCAAGACCCTTGATATGAACCAAGGCTACTGTTCAAATTGAAGTTCTTGTTTTACCTCCTCAGTGTCCTATTTTGGTACTGTTGGGAATGAAAGGTCCACAACATCCAGAAACCACCACATTCAGTTTTGTTATTTACTCTTCCATTTTTCTATTTAGGTCTTTTGACCAGACCTGACCTGTAAAGTATGTCTGTTCTGACCTTGCATAACTGGCTTGAAAAACTGTCCCCTCTTGTCCTTGACATCATCGCCTCTACAGCTCTAGTGACCTCAACCATATGGCACTTCAAAGGAAACTTATCTTTTGCCTAAAATGCAAATACAGCAGAAATAAAAGTCACATGCCCTATACTTCTCTCTGTTCTTCTATGAAAAAATGCCCCCTTTTGGAGAAAGGTGACCCTATCCCCAAGGCCCAGGTTTCCATGGTAACATGAGGAGGCACTGCCAGATTGAGTCTAAGAACTGAGCAGAGTCTTGGGAACCAAGCAGCCCTGGATTCAACCCTGAGTTTTCTAGGTAGGGCTTTGGGCAAGTACATTCTTAGTCTTAGTAACCCATTCAATTACAGTGATAAAGCAGCAACTTTGAACTGCTGGCAATAATACGGCTCTATATAGCCTACTTTCTGAGATGATCAAGATAGTCAGTGGATGCTTCCTGCTGTCACTGGATGTACTGATAGCATCAGAGGTTGGTAACTGTGGGCAAAGTTCAAGAGTTGAAAGGTGATGCAACTCAATCCAAAAATGTACCTGTAGTGTTTGGAAGGTCCTGGGACCTGAAGAGCACATTAACAGAAGAGAACGAATCTCCCTTGGTAGTCTAGCTGGGTTTGGATAGCACAGAACGTATAAAACATGTAAACAGAGGCTGTCCCCTTTATTGTATCGACATGAAGGCAAAGGCCAGACACCTGAAGGGCTTCCCATGCCTCCCTAGCCAGATAGTCACAGAGCCAAGATTGAAGTTCAGCACCAAGGTTGTCTATGCAAGATCTCCCTGATAGCTAGGAACTAGGGTCAGAGTGACACATTACCATTATCAGCGCCTGAATCCTTCACTTACTTCTTTTACCATCTTGTGCCTAGGAGAATCCGAGAGACCCATCTAGAGATTTCTGAGCAGGTTCCCACTACATGCCTCCATGAGTCCATAGGCTCTGCAGATGTTTTCTTCCTGAGTGTGCCTGATGCCATGCAAAATGCCCAGTTTCTGGGGAGCATCACCAGGGACCAAATCTACCTAAAACTACAAGATGCCAGCCACAATGCTTTTAGGAAAACCATACCAGTAAAATAATTCCATCCCTCACCCCTACTAATGTAAGTTGCTGTGAATATTGGAGGTCTTGGGGTGTGACTGCTGTACTCATGGTCCTGAGTTTACTGCCCTTACCTCTAGCCACACATAAGTAGGCAGTAAGTACCAGGTCTGGGAAGATAGCTCAGTGGAGAAAGTGTGTGCTGCACAAGCATGAGGAGATGTGTTCAATCTGAAGAACCCACATTACACAACAACCAAATTACAGCCAGTTACAGAGGTAACTGAAATCCTAGTCCTTGGAAGGCAGGTCTCTGGAATGGCTGGCTAGACAGTTCAGATGAACTGGGTTCAGTGAGAGACACTGTCTCAAAAAGTAAGATAGGGAATAATTGAGGAAGATACCTGGCATCCTTCTTTCCACACACACACACAAACACACACACACACACACACACACACACACACACCAGAAGGGATGTGGTCATACCAGCCTTACTGAAACCTTGGGAAGAAACACAACAATCTTTTAAGAACTCTGGAACCTCAGAGCTTGGTGTGTTCCTCTTAGATCCCTTCTTCCTGTGAATATCTAGACTACGGCTTAGAGAGCTAAGGTGATTTGCCCACAGATGGCCAGTTTGTGAAATAACTCTATGACATATCCCACTTCCTTCCATGAAACTATAAAAATTCCAAAGTTTGGGCTTTCTGTTTTCTCATATAAGATCCCTTAAGCCCAAGTGATAGATAAAGTACATTAATGCACTCTGAACGCTTTCATGGTCTGTCCTCTGCAAAGCTACAAGACAAGTGCTGAGAGCCAGAGGAGTAAGGAATGTGGAGGGATGGAGGTGAGCAGACGGGGCAAAATTACCATACAGTGTAAACCCCTAAAAAGAATTACTTCTCTGCCTACATAAAGCAAAACAGAGTATTCAGTTCAGGCTTTGCTATCGGGATCTCAACTTTTTGAACTTGACTGTTCCAAGATAAATGTAGATGACAGAGTTGTTTGGTTTGAACTCTCAAAAGCTCTAGAATTCAGCATTGCAAACCCACTTATTCTAACCGGGAGAATGTGCTGCCAGCTAGACAAAAGGAACTTGGGACGTGACCCTTATGTATCTGTGTGTGTTGGCAGGAAGCAGGCTGGCTTCTAGACTGCCTTCAAAGCTATCAGTGAAGCCTTGTTTCTTAGAAACCTCCTAGCATAGATTTCAAGTAAGTACCTGAGTTCAAAAGTCCTCCCATGCCTGCTGCCCCTGAGTTGGACAGGAAGATGGTTTATATCCAGCATAGTGATCTGCCTCAGGAATACAAAACCAGACAGCTCCTTCCTCCATGTCAGGGTTCTCAGAACCAACTTCAATGTCAAATTCAACAAGTGGTTATTTATTGGAAACCTGCTATGCTAAACCATTATGAAATGGAAACATGAGTGAGCAAAATCCCACACTTAAAGTCTGGTAAGACAACCAGATACAAGACTAACAACTCAATCATAGATGGGTATTTTTTTCTATGAGCAAGGAAAAGGGATGGGGTGAAGGGCCAATGAGATAGCACAGTAATCAAAGGGACACTCCACGGAGACTGACAATCTGAGTTCAATCCCAGAACCCACATGATAGAAAAAAAGAACGGACACCCCACACACACACACACACACACACACGGTGGGGGAGGGGAGGGAAGGAAGGAGAGAGAGAGAAATGTAATTTGAAAATGTTTTAAAAAGAAGACAGTGATAGGAATTGAGGGGGAGGAAGGGGGAAGCCACAGGCTACAAGGACATTGTCCTGTGTGGGATTTAGCTATCTCTTTAAGTTTGTGGGCCATCATGTGATAGTCTGCACTGTACCCTTGTGAGCTTCCTTCTCTGTAGCTTAGAAGGGAAACTGTGCTTTCCTGGCAGAGACTGCCAGTTCCCCTGGAAGCTCAGAGATGGGAGGAGGGAAGCATACTTGCAGGGCCCCACTACCTGCTTCCAAGAACCAATGTCCACAGGCTATTCCTGAGAGAGAGAGTTCATGCATTCTAGAAGATAAATAGACTTCCCTTCTCAGGTAATAACAGCAATTTTGCTCTTGTGAAGTTTACATTCAAGCCTGTGCAAAAACAAAACCATTAGACTTGTCATGGGCAGACTCACAGATCCTGTCTACCTTCATGTTTTTTCTCCCCCGTCCAGAGCTGAGGTTGTAATAAATGGCTCTTCGCTGCCAGCTGTCGTTGACAGAAGTCATGAAAGCATTAAGCACAGCATCCAGCCAGCTTCATCCAGATGGAGACACAACCAGACACTCTCTCTGAGAATCAGGTACTGGTCATTACCCATAGGGCAAGAGAGAGGCTGGCCTGGCTCTCTTTACCATGAGCCACCAAATGGCTACTCTCAATCATCTAAAGAAGTCAGGATACAAATAAATGTTTCCCCTCCTGAGGAAACAGGTTTCATCTATTACATGCTCAATTAAAAAAATCAAAACCTGGGACAAGTCCAGGCACCTGACCCATGTGGATATACAGCCATTTGGGCAAGTGACCAACCCCCCTAGGGTCCTCAGGTTCAACTCCAGGAGCTGTGCTTCTTCTGGGCATTGCAAGTCACAGGTTTCTTTCTCTAGCATAAAGAGTTGTCTCTTGTTTACCTTTACCTGGTACTTATGCCTCCATTCTGTGACAGTCCTTCACCTTGTCTACCACCTCCCAAGGCAACTGTAGAATGAAAGGCTGTCTCCCTACTGCCACTCACATGAAAATACAGAACTATAAACTGAGAGACACAGAACTGTCCAGACATCTGGTCGACCACCAAGAGAATGTCTAAATCAGAGGAAAGTTTTTGTTCTGGCCTTGGTACCCCTCATACAGCAGTCATTCTTGGGTGGTGGACATGGAGGGAAGTTACAACTTTGGCACTTGGGACTTTGGGCTCAGATGCAGTCATGACTAACACATCAACGGCTGGATGTTCATACCAGATGGTACTATGTTTGCAAATAGGTGTAGCTAAGGAGATTGTACTGAAGGGACTCATTCATTTTCTAAGTTGTCCAAGAGGGCTACCAGAAAAGGCTGGCTTACAACAATATGTTTTGAGGGATAAGCAGGAGTTTATCAGGTGTGCCATGCTGCATCCTGCACACACATGGTCTGAATGGTCTTTGTGACCAGGGCTGAAAGAGTATTGAACTGAAGATGGGAATGGGGGATGGGAGTAAGGCACCCAGGACCATGTAAGGAAAGGCTTACTTCCCCAGGCTATCAGCATGGTGAAGGTAAAGAGCCACATAGAATATAGCACAAAGCAGGATGTTACCCCCTCCAGTGGCTCTACCCCTTAGCTCAGATGCTTCATGGGGGTGTGGAACTAAAACTGTTGACATCTGGGAGCCTGGTGCCTGAGAGGCCACCTGAAAGAGCTGCTACCAGGCCCTCTCAGTGCCTCTTCTGGGGCCACCTAAGTGAGACCCACCCTTGTTGCACTGCCCCAACAGCCATGCTCTTTCCTCTGGAGCACAATGGAACTGACAAGACTGCTACACAGCAATCACCCCTATCAACCTGTGGCTGAAGGCATAACAGTTATTATTCTCTTCCAGATGGTTCTAGAAGCCAGCGTTCTGGGTGCTGTCTCAGCAGCTCCAGGAGAACCCATCTTATAGATTCTGCAGGGTTCTGGCAGCCCCAGGTGTCCGCGTGGCTGTATCACCCTGACATCCATCTATTCTGACCCCTTGTCTGAGTTGGTGTAACATCATCCTCCATCTCTCACAGGACACTGTCACTGGATTTACAGCTCACGGGGAACTCAAGATGATCTCATCTCAAGATCCTTAATCACAACTGCCAGGACACTGTTTCTAAGTAAAATCACATTCACAGGTTCCAGGGATTCAGAGTTGGCCATATATTTTGGGTGGCCACCATATTCCATGTTTCCTGCTACAGCACCTGACAGTAAAATTCTACCCAGCCATTTCAGCTCCTTCTGGCCCTTTTCTGTAGGAACTCAGAAGGTGGGGAGTGGAGAGACATACACATGCATGCACACATGTGCACACACACACACACACACACACACACACACACACACACACACACGGGTATGCGGACACAGACACATATATCCTATTTGTGTAGAAGAAGATACCATGGCTGCTATAAGGAGCCTGTAGACACCAGCCACTGTAGAAGGAACAATAATATGCCTCCACCCAGAGGGAAAAGGAATTTCCCTCCTCTCAATTAGTTACCAAAATTATTCACAATAAAAGATTCTATGAGTGATTTGGAATGATATTTAATAATTGATTGTAATTTCTCATAATTAGTTAGAAATTAATTCCCTCACAGAGGTATTTATTTATGAGCTTTCTGGGGGCTCTCTTTGCTTTTAAATACTTTGGGGTAAGTAATTGCAAGGGATATTAGCAATTTCCAAAGTATATTAGCGTGTCAAGTTGTATAATCTTTAGTGAAGTGGAGTAAATAAAACGCTTTTGTTTCCTGCTAAGAAGTAAGAAGTGCTCAGCCAAGGTGGCTTCTCCTTGCACAATAACTAGAGACTGCAACCACTAATTTACAGTGGCTAGTGGATGGAGTGTGACATACTCAAGGGATGCTGGCTACCCTGTGGCTGTCTCAGAACACTCTAAACCCAGATGTATGTCAATCACCTGACCCAGGCCCCCAGAGAATAAGGTTTCCTCAGGTATCAGCCACAGCTTCTAGATTCTTCCTAGTTTCCCCTGTTTCCAAGTATACGCAGGCTCATGGCTCAGTGTGACCCTAGACACATCCAGGAAGAGTTACACATTTGCAAACCACATGAGCATTCTGCGGGTGGGAGAAGACAAGCTTCCCTGGGTTGGTTCTCAATGGTGGCTTGCTGCAAGCTATACAATTAGATCAGCTGACCTGAGTACCCAGCTCCTTCCTCTGCATGACCACAATCACCACCATGTCTTAAAAAAATGATAACTTAGTCATTTCATGGGTTTGTCTGTCTGTCATCTATGGGTGCATGTGCATACGTAGGCTTGTGCATGTGGAGGGCAGTGGTCAACCTCTGGCAACGTTCCTCACGAGCTGTCCACATTGGTTTTTGAGACAGTCTCTCATTAGCCTGGAACCTGCTGAGTAGGCTAGACTGCCTAGCAATTGATCCCTGGGGATCTGTGTGTCTTCCCCTCTCCAGCACCATAATGACAGGCACCTGACACTGTGCCTGGCTTAAAAATGTGGGTTCCTAAGATGAGACTTGAGCCCTCAAGCTTGCATAACAAGCACTTCACCAATTTAACTCTCTCTCTAGCCCCTTAAGCAGTTCTTTTAAAAATTTAATTAAAATATAATTGCATCGTTTTCCCCTTCCCCTTTTTTCCCTCATGTATCTGCCACTATTTCATGCTCATGGCATTGTTGTGTGTGTGTGTGTGTGTGTGTGTGTGTGTGTGTGTGTGTGTGTGTGTGTGTCTATATGTGTATGTATATATTCCTAAATATATAAACACAACCTGCTCAGCCTGAATGTTATGTACATTGTGTGTATGATTTCAGGGCTGACCACTGGGTATTGGATAACCAGTTGGGCACTTTCAGCACTCCTTAAGTGTTTGTAGTTGAGAGTTCTCCCTTCCCTATTAGCATGCTTATGGGTGTCATTCTTGTTCAAGTCCTCATGTTCTATAAGTAGAGCTCCAAGCTTATGCTCAGGCTACTAGGGACAGGATGTGTATGGTCTGCTGGTGATTTCATGAAGAACCTATTCCAGTGTCTTCCATCCTTTCCCTGTGTTGTTCTGGAACTTGCCCTCTAAATCTAACTTACCCTGGAACCTAGAGAACTGTATTTTGATCACTTTGTTCTGAACAGACCCAGGCGAACTGGTCTCTGTAGGACCAAGAAGATGTCATGATTCACAAACCCTGCTAGACAACAACTAAAGGAATAAGATGCAGTCCACAAAATGGACCAGTGCACAGGCCAGGAGGCCACACTCACAGGATCTTACAGGTGGAAGTAGTAGTTTCCCCATCACAGTCCCACAGACCCATTTAAACCACGCCAGCCCACCCCTGTGGTCACCATACCTGAAGAAGCCTTCCTGGAAAAGCAGAGGCCAGTGGGGAATCAGGGTACACATTGTTCTGACTCCTCTTTTTAGATATCCCGGTTAGAGGATAGTTCTCCTAAGACTGGCAGTTTAATCCAGGGAGAGCGAAAGGGCTGGGTTTGCCAAGTACTGATGGATTCCTGACATTGGCACACCAACCTTCCATCTAGGGCCATCTGTAAAGTCACAGAGCATCCTTGAGGGCATCTGAGCTCTGGGTGTGCTCACCTGTTTGCTGAGTGGTATGTCCTTGCAGGGTGACATGGACTAGAACATCTAAGCCAGTAAAGAACATTTAGCAACATGGAGACTTCCTTTTTTGGTTTTCACAGGAAGCAGATTTTAAAGTTCTTGGATGCAGAGAAGGATATTTCTGTCCTTAAGGGGACCCTGAAGCCTGGAGACATTATTCATTATATCTTCGATCGAGACAGCACAATGAACGTGTCCCAGAACCTCTATGAACTCCTCCCCAGAACCTCACCCTTGAAGAATAAGCATTTCCAGACTTGTGCTATCGTGGGCAACTCGGGAGTCTTACTGAACAGTGGCTGTGGGCAGGAGATTGATACCCACAGCTTTGTCATAAGGTAACCTAACACCCCACAGCAAGGGTTTGGGCCCTAAGTGGCAGGTATATTGAAGTGACTAAAACAAGGCACATGAGTTGGGTGTGTCCTGTTCTCAACCTTCATTGCGTGTCATAATTGCTATGGGGGAAACATTGGTTATTTGTCTCATTGCTGTACCCAAACATCTGACAAGAGCAACTTAAAGGAGGGTTTGTTTACGCACATGGTCTGAGGGTCCATCACAAAAGAGAAGGCGTGGGAGGAAGAGTATGAGGCAGCTGGTGAGATTGCATCTGCAGTTAAGAAAAAGAGCTAAATGTTTTGGCTCATCTCTTTTTTCTCCCCATCCTTATTCCACTTGGAAACCCAGCCCATTGGAGGGGCAGGGCTTCCTTCTTCAGTCAAACCTCTCTGGAAATTTCCTCAAAGGCATATCCAAATAGTGTCACCCAAGGGGATTGACAATGAAGATTATGTCACAATGACAAGAAGATTGGTGTCACAGGGACCCTTATCTCCAATCAGAATGTACATCTAATCAGTTAAGTCACCTTGGGGACAGGACAGGGGCATTGTGTGACCCAGACAGCTCATGTGATTCTGAATTATATCTAAGGTTAGGAATCACAGGGAAAGATTGTAGTGATAGGCAGACTGGCCCTTAGCATGTTTTGTAAATAAAACTTTATTATAACACAGTCACTCAGGCCCACCCTCACACTGTTATTAGCTTTCTGGGCAAAGCTGGGATATTTTTGCTAAAGCATACAGCCTGCAAAGCTAGAAATATTTATTGTCTGGTCCCTTACAGAAAGAGCCTGTTCTCTGAACACTAGACAGAGCCTGCTACAAAAGGGATAAAGAAAATCTAGATGGGTAGTTCCTGTGCCAGGACTGTAAAAGTCTTGTCAGTATTCCGGAAGGTGGTATGCCACCTGTAACGTTAGTATCCTGGAGTCAAAATCTAGCAATACAAAAAAACTCAATGGTCATTTTCTCTGATATCAGTTCTTATTTCACCATCACTGGGGACATTGGGACAGTTACCCATGGCCCTGATACCTGACCCTCAAGCCATACAAACTTAGAAACAAGGCATTGCTGTCTCCTGAACAAAAGTAGGACACAGAGTGCTTCGAGTTTCATCCCAAAGCACTCCCAGCCCTGGCAGAAGAAATGTGTGTCATGTCTCACATTTCTGTTAGGACTGCCTTGTGCAAAGAGAATCTCAGTCTAGGGCTTTGGGAGCATCACCACCAGAGAGTTCCCTGAACCTGAGGTCAAGGAAAGAAACGAGTATAATTACTCCTGCATCACCTGAGATTGGAGGTGCTACAACAGCCTGGGTACCAGTTACTTCCTCTTCATTCCCCTTGACCAGGTTTCTCTGTGACTGGCAGAGCCAATAGCTCTGTTCTTACATTTCCAAGCCCTCCGGTCTAAAGAGAGGGTCTGGGTAGGAAAAGAAAGGGAAATGTGTGGGAACTTGTCTGATTGGAAGCCAGGGGGCAAAGCTCCTCCTTGGGTCAGCTCACCTCCAGAGTGTAGGCTTCAGTGAGGAAGTTTCTCTGACCTAGTATAACCCTTGCAAGACTTGCAGGAGTTATGAGTTATGGGTTTCAACAGTCAGCTTCCCATGCCACACTAAGCCCCACACTAAGATTCACCCTGAATATGCCTGACATTATCCTATGAGCCAGGGTCACCCCATAGTTTCCAGTGTGGGTTCTGAAACTCAGTCCTGACTCTAATGGTCTTTTGTCATGTGACTTGAAGTAGATCACTCCTCTTTCCTGGACTTTGGTTTCATCTGTAAAATGTTTGGGTTGCGTTGGCTGATTCTAAGGGCCTCCCATGAAGGCTTTCCCGATGCTAACCCAGATTTCTCCACACTTTAATGTGGATACATCTTTACTGGCTTATTGAAATACAGAGGCAGCAGATATGAAGTGAGCCTGAGACTCTGGATTTCCCACAAGACCACAAGGGAGGTGTGATGCCAGATGCACTTAGAGAAGCTAGGCTACAGTCTATCCCACTGACTCCTGTATCCACTCACACATACAATCAAAAGAACGTGATGTCACGCATGTTAGGTGAAATGACATGTGTGAGCATGCCCTGTGCCCCCCACATGATGGTACACTGAGTATCCATTCTCTATAAACCCTGCATCTCCACTGAACTGCCTCACCCACGGACATGGAGCTCCTGAAACAACAGTAGTTTTTGTGTCTGTGTCTTGATCTCCAGGCAAAGACGGTGTGCCTAGCACACAGGAGGACCCCACAGGGCTGAACTCTGATATCAAACACTGACAAATGGATGCCTGCCACCATCTGTCAAAGTCTTCAAAATTAGTTTTCCTTATGTATGTTTCTGCCCCCCCTCCATGTAAGAGACACTCAGGTCTCTGCCACCCCCTCAGAAAACTACTGGGGAACAGGACCCCCCAAGAGTACTAGTAGGTCACAGCACACACAGAACACAATGAGTTTGCAACGTACAGCACCTCCCACAATGAAGAGCAGACCACAATGGGAAGGATGAGGAAAGAAGTTCAGGAGGCTCTATTAAGCAGATGCTGGTTGCACACTGGCTTCTGGGAACCAAGATGGATGGGACACATAGGCCTGAGAGGGTAACATAAGACTGCAACACCAGCTTCATTCTTCTGAACAACACACACACACACACACACACAACACACACACACGGGTAAATCACCATCAGCATAGTCCCTTAGCATGATATGAATAGCATGTTCATGGCATTTGGTGTTAGCCTGTGCACATCTCCTGGTGTATTTAACTCTCACCACTCTCCTTTATAGTGAGGAAACTGAGGAATGGATGGCCAAGATCCAGGTGACTAGCTACAACCAGGGTTAGGCTGAGGAGCTGGCAGTCTGGCTTCTGAGCCACAACTGCCCCCTCATCCCAAGGACTACTTACTCTTCCTATACCTGTGGATACAGTTATTTCTGGAAGGGGCCAGCTCCCTTCCTGCCAGATGCCAGGCCTATAGGCAATGCAGCTCCTTCCCCTAGAATTTTCTGTGAGTAAGAGAGCCTGGATCCACCAGAACCAATGTCAGAAAGGACTGCCCCACGCCAGAAAAAAATTCATGTATTCTATGTCAGTGGGAAGGAACATGTTCAGAGTCTACACATGGCTCAGCTATTTGCCCCACCCCATCACACACACACACACACACACACACACACACACACACACACACACACACACACGCCTAGCAGGAATGTCCTCTCTAAGACATATCACTGGGCAAGCTTGAGCCCCACAGACCCCATTCCCACCCTGTCCCCATGCAGGTATGAAGCCCCTGCTGTGAGTGGGCCTACCCTCAAGGGCACAAACACCCTGATGTCCCTTCTGGTGGAGGCCTTTCAGATGCACCTGATAGCAATCAGTCAGTATGTCCCGCCCCATCACCTGACTAGAACTCAAATCTGCAGGACACCTGCTAAACCTTCTTTGCCCCACTATGGTTACTGGTGGTCTTCAGTGAGCCTGACAGGGTCAAATGCTCCTAGCTCTGTTCTCAGGGCTGGGAAGTCAATCCACAAGCAGTCAATGCTCAGGAAAGTTTTGGAAGTTTGGCTCAGCTGGCCTCAGAGTAAGAGGGAGACATGGATGGCCCCAGACAGGCCACTGTGCATCAAGTCGCCTCCCACTCTCTGTGGCCTGGAGCAGGGCCATCTGAAGAGATTCCCCTGCATTCCTCCTCCCAATAATGTTTAGCCACAGTCAAGATTGCAAAGCCGGGGCATGGGATGGAGACATGAGGTATACGGGAAGACTCTGAAGAGTTCATGAGCTTCTGAATCCTTCCTGAACCAGGGAATTTGGGCAAGTCAGTTGGAGACTGAGGACTTCCTTTGTCTCTAAAACTGGATCATGAATTCAGGTTCACAGTAAAAAAATAAGCTGACCTGTGGGAAAAAATATGAGCCAAGTGGCCAGTGTAGCCCAGGGCTCAGTGATGCCAGTATGCTACTCACTTAACTGACTTTCCCAGACAACGAAGAAGAAAAATTGTTGCTTTAAGGCAGGGGCAGACGGTGTCTGTGTTACACTATGAAGTGATGGCACCTGGCCCCTCACTTACATGTAGTCAGCCTCTATACTGTACATACTTGCTCTGAGCTCTCCATTTATTCCCATTGATCTGAACATTTTTCTTACCATCCAGTTTTCCAGGGAAGGCAGTACTTCCTGGCTGCAGACTTAGTCCCAGGGGCCCTCAGACACTATAACCATTGAGGGAGGGACCCAAGGCAGTCCTTCAATAGACAGGCAGGCTGATGGGTTCAGCAAGAGAAAACAGTGAACAGGTCTGCCCATTTCCTCTTTCCCTCAAGACCCTTCCAATCGCTCCCTCCTGTCTTCAGAGCCGAGTCTTTGCATGTCCAACCTCTGATATCTCATCTGGCTTCACCCTGTTCCAGGTCTCATCTATGTAATACCCATTAGTCAGACCAATTCACATACCTCTGCTAAACACCCATGCTGCCTCACAATCGCTGTCCTCAGGCAAATTCCTTTGTCTAAAACTCCCTAGCATGGTGTTTCTTTCATAAGCTGCTAGGAACCCAAGGAGGAAGAGACTTTCAGAAAGTATATATATGCACATGCATATGCATATATACATATAAATTCTTCATGTCTGAGGCATGCTACATCGGGACCGGGAGTCCTGTTTTTAACAAGTCTCTGTGGGATCCTTCTGACGTTACAAACTGGAAACAAGCTTTTCTCCTGTAGCTGTCCACCAGCGCTCTTCTGCTCATGCATCTATGCATTCTTCAGATTTCCCTCCCGGCTCTGACACCTGACAATCATTCACCCCATAGAAAGATGACATCAATTAACACGGGCTACGCTTTCACTACAGTTCAGTAGCATTCTAAGTACCCACTGTTCTTGTGGTCTCCGCCACAAGCCAAAGTCATGGAAGCTCTCTTGGAAAGCACAGAGAGGCTGGAGAACGCTACACAGGACCACACAGGTAGAGCATATCATCTGAGTACTGAACCTGGAAGTCCGTCTTCTGAGCCTTCACTCTGAGGGGTCACCTAATGAGCCAGGCATACCTGCTGAGAGCAACGTCATTGTGGGGCTCCTCTTTTAGAAGCTGGCCTCCAGAGAGTGGCATTTTGTGTTTAAGGATATGACAGGGGCTCAGTAAACATTTGAGGCATGAAGGAAGATATAGGAAATGATACATCTGTGGCGACAAAGAGAAAGAAACAAGAAGCAGAGATAAAGTTCAATGTAAGAAGGACCATCTTCCCTAAGACCATGTTGACTTTTATCCCTCAGGTGCAATCTGGCTCCAGTACAGGAGTATGCTCGGGATGTGGGCCTCAAGACAGACCCTAGTGACTATGAACCCCTCTGTCATCCAGCGGGCTTTTGAGGACCTGGTGAACGCCACATGGCGGGAGAAGCTGCTGCAGCGGCTGCATGGCCTCAATGGCAGCATCCTATGGATACCCGCCTTCATGGCGCGGGGTGGCAAAGAGCGTGTGGAGTGGGTCAATGCTCTTATCCTGAAGCACCATGTCAACGTACGCACGGCTTACCCTTCCCTGCGCCTGCTGCACGCAGTCCGAGGGGTGAGTGTACCATCATCACTGAGGATTGCCATGTGGCAAACAGGGTGGCCTCTCAGATGCACTTCTGTCTCCACCACCATTAGCTGTGAGGACGGAAGTTTCTGTTACGCCTCGCCCATCGCTATTTACACCCAAATGAACGCACAGAGGCTCCTATTAATTATAAACTGTTTGGCCGATGGCTCGGGCATCTTATTGGCTAGCTTGCTCTTAATTATTAACCCATTTTGATAAATCTATGTATGTCCATGTAGTCTTGGCTTACCAGACAATGCCAGGGTCTCTTCCTTCCTTGTCAGCTATGTGGCATCTCTGGTGGCTCCTCTTTCCATTCCTCTTCCCAGAAGTCTCCTAGTCTGGTAGGCCCGCCTGTACTTCCTGCCTGGCTACTGACCAATCAGCAGTTATTCATCAACCAATAAGAAAAGCATATATTCACAGCCTACAGAAGGACCTTCCCCCATCATAGCTGATTGCTCTTAGCAAGCTATCTGGCCCTTCTTAACCTCCATCAGCAATGAGAGTGGTTTGCAAATCGGTTTCATCTGGGTGAGCTGCCTACTTCCTGTGCTCTTAAGAAAGTAGTCGAAGGTTGCATTGAGGCTCAATGGAAACAGATGATCTGTTCCTTCCTTAGGAAGGAAGGTGACTGATAAGTCACATACCTGCCATCTCGGGTGGCTGATTTCCACCAGGGACAAATGGCCTTGGCTTCAACATGTCACCTTACGCTCTGTAGACCTTAGCTTCCCCATCAGTAAGCAGATGTGGGAAGGGGAGCATTGCTGGATGTAAAGAGTAAATGGAGTGATGTCTGGACAACAGCTAACACGGGTGTCCTGTTGTTGTCACGTCATCTTTGATTCTTCACTAAGCCCTGGGTCCAGTCCCTAGCACTACACAACCAGGGCGTGGTACCTGAAAGCTCAGGTAGTGGAGGCAGGAAGTTCAAGGTCATCCTCAGCAACATAGTGAGTTCCAGGCCAGCATGAAACCAAACCCTGTCTCAAAAAAACTAAAATTTTAAAGAAGAAAAAAAAATCAGTGAAGTCCACACTGATCCAGTTGGACTTTTCAACAGCCCAGCCTAACTGGTAATTCCTAAATTCCTGCTTATTTTGTCCCAACTGTGAAACCATCCACAAGCCCACCCACAAGGGTCTGGGCTAGGAAACTACCTGGGATCACAACAGCCAATAGAGCTTGATGTTGAGCACTCAATCACTTGGTTCCAGTTACCTATTACAGGGCAAGAAATCACCCCAAACCTGAGGCTCCCGAAAAAACAGTAAGAGTGTTCTTCCAAATTGCTGTTAATCAGAAATTCGGTAACAGCTTGGCTGGGTGGTTCTGGGCAAAGGTGTACCACACAGTTACAGTAAGATGTGGCTGGTGATAGGACACTGGGGGCAGATGGCATTGAGTGCACCTCTCTTCACATCATTTTGGGATTAGAGCTTAAGCAAATGGGTGGACTGTGGTACTAGAGGGAGTGTGCAGAAGCCTGGGGGTGGGGCCGGAGCAGCTACTGAGGAACTGAGGACCTTCTTAGGCATAAATCTGACCTGGCTGTAACAAATCTGCCATCACCCACTGATCTACCCAACTACCCACTCAATCAAGGGCCAATCAGAGCCACAGTGGAAGCTCCCCAGGACAGACTCCTCGCCAGCTGAGGCACATGGGGATGCTCTTTGGTGGAGCCTCAGGGTAATAACTGGGAAGCCATCTGAGTCACCCACATAGGACCAGTACTCCTGAAAGTTAAGGTGACCCTAAGACAGTTATAACTCTGACCAAAATTGGTATGTGTTATCTCAGGGAATACACTGGCCCCAAGACAGATCTAAAGAAACAAACTACAAGAGCAACCACTTTTGAGACTGGTGGAACAGAGTGGTCCCTGTTCTGGAGGGACACGAGGCCCCAGAGAAACTCTTCAGTATTTGATCACATCATTCTGTCAGAGTGGGTCAGTCAGAGGAACCTTGCTCCCCAGGACTCAAGCCACAGGCCTTCAAGTCATTTATTCCTGGAAGGAGGGCGTCAGTTGATTTGGAGATCTGAGAAAATAACCGAGGGCAGAGAACTGCCCTTTGGCAACAAGAGCAAAAGTCCTTTGGATGGGGAGCAGGCAGCCACCTGGAAGAAACCTCTGCAGCCAGAGCTATTTTTAGCCATAATTGACTCACTTTCATCTGTCAAAATAGCATTAAGCAGCAGTAATGAGCCCTTTAAACAAACAGGCTGTTGATCCTGGGAAGAAGGCAGCTCTCTTTGCAAGCTCTCCAGGAGGGAATACTGCAGGAGCAACAGGTGGGCTGCCCCACCTCAAGCTTCCAGCTAGGAAAGGAGGTGCCTTGGGATGGATTTTCAAACTTACATAGGCCCCTTGGTCTTGTGGAGTACTTAGTCCAGTGAGAAGCCTGTGTCCTTGGGAAAGGACTTGCCTCCATCTCTGGCCTTACCTGGTGTTGTAACATGGCACAAGAGTTGTTGGTGGGCTGGAGCCAAGAGGGCCCATGTAGGCAGAGCTCACATGGAGAGTTTTATTGGGGATAAGAGAAAGAGGGGAGAGAGAAAGGGAGAACAGAGTAGCCTCATGGGAAGAGAGACCGAGAGGTAGAAAGAGAAACAGAGAGACAGAGGGGGCAGGGAGCAGGGCCCCACCTTTTAAAGGGGGTGTAGCTATATAAATATGCATAGCTGATGACACACTGTCAGGACCCTGAGCTGGTCAGAGTACTGCCTGAGTACTGGCAAGCACTTCCGGCCAGGTGACAGGGGCAGGCCAGCATAATACCTGAATGCATACATTCTCCCTTTTGTTTGCTACGAAAAGGTGAGGAGTTTGGGTGGCAGGGTTAGGAGAATGAGGGCCCCAAGTTCTCGAGACTGCTGGCTGCTGATCTGGGGGCATCAAAATCTTAGAGGGACTTAAAAAAAGCCAGGAGTAGGTGGCTTTTTGACTGCTGTCCAGGCTCTGTGAGGCCATATGGTGTCTCTGGGTCTTGGCAAGATGCTTTGTCTAGACAACTCACTGGAGGCAGTCAATTCCCCAATGGTCTGAATAGGATCTTTGCAGCAGTTGAGATGAAAGGCAGGTTTGTTCAGTGGCCAATGCTGCTACTCTTGAAGTAAGTTCTGGGTAGAGATTCTTCTGTGCTAGCATGTCCCTGTATTCCTAAGAGCTTTTTAATTAAACATTTTAAATGCCATATTCTCAGGTCTGAACATTTGAGGACTGGCTGTCTATTAGGTATATATGAATAGACAAACTTTGTTTCTACCTATCTGTTTTAAGCTTAATTCTGAACACATATAGGGGACTAGGTGAGGCTTATGCCTGTAATTAATCACATCAGTACTCAGCATGACTACAGTTCAAGAGCTTGATCGTTTGTAAGATGACTATTAACTTGTATTTCTTAACGGTCTATAATAGATTAGCAGCCCTCATAAGTCTAGGACTTTACATTCCTGTCCAATTTAGCCTTAAAAATAATGATTTTGAATTGAAGCTCTTCTAGTATCAAAATCATAGATAATGGGCTCAGAAAAAAATTTAAAAAAAAACATAGCTATTCTGTGGGTAAAAAACAGAACAAGTTTGTACCAAGCTGTTAAGGCAGACTCAAGGAAAGGTGACAAGGAAAATATCCCAGGTTGACATGAAAACAGGAGAAAGGCAGCCTGTGAGCTGGGGTGGGGCCCATGAGCAGGGCCTCGGGGAGTTCGGAGGCCAGCACTGCCCTTGACAGGCCAGGGGGGCCTCTGCCCAAATGCCCAACTTTGGGAAAAGGACCCTCTCAGGGAGCAGGCATTCCATTGTAGAATACATATCTTATTTATCAACATATGTTGACATTTATCAAAGTTCTCTATAAGCTTGATGTTGAACACTTGGCAAAAGCATAAGTACTTAGGTATAAATCCCTAGGTAAGCTTTTTGTTAATCTTAATAGATCTTTATAACCTTAAGTTTTTATCATCATATAGAATATATTTTAAAGCAGAGCTGACTCACATAAACAGCATGTTGTAACAAATGTAACCATATACTTATTTCATCATCCAAAAGTACAGACTAATCTAAAATATTTGAGACTTGTTGCTTTCCTTAGTCTAGAAGGAGATGCAATGAACACAGCTCATTAGGACTAAGTTTACTCTTTAACCTTAGTAGAAGATGCCTGATAGTCATGTGCCTGCCTACATCCTGATGTGGTCACCAGCCAAGATGGAGAAGAGCCACGTGATAGCTCATTAAAATATGTCTTAATAAACAATGGTTTACATATATGCACAGTTGAATCCAACTTACACACAGAGTTAAATCTAGCTTACATTCACGCACATAGTTAAATCCAAGTCACACACACACACACACACACACACAATCACAAATAGGAATTTAGCAAATTAAAAGAAAGGGAAAACCGGTGGGTTCTGAGCAAGGCAAAGGTGGCTTCTCCAACTCCTAATCCCACACTGAAGCAGACCTAGACAGAACATTTAGAGAGGGAGAGCAAACAGACATGAGCAGGTTTTGGAAGAAAGAAGATGAAAGTGGAGAATTGTTTCCTCTGTTCCTGACTGTATGGTCAAGGACTATTGAGGCAGAGGTGGGTAGCCCCGCCAGAGCCCCAATTGCTGGTGTTGAATGAAAGGCAAAGCCATCTGTGAATGAGAGAAGATCTGCTGCGGGTGGAAGAGGACAGATCTGTTGTGGGTGTGACAGGCAAGTAGAATTCCTGTGTGACATGGGTGCCTTTGGCCAGCCCTGCCAAAGTATGCCACTAAACAAACATTGCTAGAGGAAAGAAAGGAAGGAAAGGCAAGAGACCAGAGACCAGGCAAAGAGAAGGAGCTCTGCTGGCAGGCACTTTTACAAGGATGTACATGTTGCATAGTTAGTAGGGGAAAGGCACCCAACCATATGTAACTGCTTTGGCAGCAGAGGATGGGCTGTGCAGGGGGCATCATCGAGGTGGCCACGG